GTGAACAATTTGAAATCACTGACTTCCTGTTTCAATGTTCGCAGATGTCTGCTGGCCAGATTGACTTTCTCATGCAACTGCTGGCATCGAAGTATGGTGATCCACTGTTGGATGGTGCAGACCACATTAAAGCATAGCATGAGTCACTCGAACTTGTGGGTACTTGTAAGTTGAGCTGTGAGAATACTCATGAATAGTAGTACTCGCAAATCCAGGTTACTTATTTCCCATGGCTCTTTCCAGCTCTGAGTAGGTACTTCTCTGTATATGGGTATACTTGCAAGTACTTGCACACAGACTCATAGCAAGGAAAGAATATATTTCTCAAAACTATTCTATGACCTCAATATCATTCTTCTCCTCCTTCTTCTTACCATGCTTTAACTTGTTGGCAAACATGTTAACAAGCTCTTATTCCGGTATAAGCCACATTACAGCTGCCCATGAGCTGATGACTGTAGCTGCTCGCGTTGATTCATTGTTAAGCGAGTGACAGTGTTTCAAGACAGTGAGCCCACCCTGAGAGAAGGCGCGCTCAATATCTGTAGAGGCCGCTGATAGAGACACAGTAATATTAGATAGCAAAAGATACGGAGAGAACTGAGCACCTACCAGGAACTGACAAGGAATCCAGTGCTATGGATGCCAGCAGACAATTTGGCCCATTGACTTGAACGTCCCAAAATGCCAGCAGATCGTTGACTGTAAGAAGCGGAGGGCTTTGCAGCCACTCATCGAGAGCATCCACATTGAGATCCATGTCAAGCATGTTGAGAGACGTGAACATATTTGCAGGAGTGTCCTAGTAGTCATATAAGCACCCATATTACGCTGTCCATACAACGTACATTGTACATTGACGTACTGTGCACTGTGATGTAGATGCTGAGCTGACCTCCGTGGCTTTGGGCTTGTAATGGAAGTTCCACTGCTTTCGTAGCAGGCTTTCAATCATACCGATCCATGGTGCCTCCCATTTCTGGCATCGAAAGTAGTCTAACTTATACTTTGAATGCAGCACTATCAACATGTAAGCTATAGTTGTAAGTGAAGAAGACGTAATACATATTCATTGCGCAGCAGTACATGATAGATTCGTCTGTAGCAAAGTAGTACTTGTTCAGAACTTCCCAACCAAGGGCAGCAGTGAAGCAAATTTGGTTGGGGAGCTGCGTGTCACTGATGGCATCAACGAGCTTTGATGTTAGTATGTCTATGACAGGGATGACCTTGTGCAGTAGCAGAACGTTTGACTGGGAGACTCGGTCTGTCACATGCAAAAACATCTAATAATCGTCATGATGCTATCAGAAGCTGCATACGAGATCAATAGAGAATACACGTATGATAAGCATGGCATGGAGCTGCTCGAGAAGTGTCCACTCCATGTCAGATAGCCTGAACCGTGCCAGTCCCTTTTTACCCGTCTTATTATACTTCAGTATATTGACCAATCACATAAGTGCAGCGTGAAGCTTCAACGCACAACTGATGGCCTGCACAAGAGAATTCCAGCATGTCGCAATGGCACGTACCATTTGGAGGTCAGGTGTCTTCTCTTTATTGCAGCAGCTCTTAAGGTCTGCACAAATTGTTGGCGAGTGAAAAATCCGTTTGGCCAGTTCTACAAGCTTAGAAGGATGATCAGAAAGAGTCTCGAAGGCAGGCAAAGATCAAATGTACCTTTGTGACAGCAAAACGGCCAAACCGCTGATCTTGTGCTGAGAGCTTGTGTGTGCATTGTACCTCCTTGATGATATCAGCAATTTCCATCTTATCGGCCACCTCAGCATCAGCATCGAGCTTGTCTTTCTCTTCGTCACCATTGCCATTATCATCGGCTGCCTCAGTGTCAAAGTCGACAGCGTTCTCATTGATATCCTGCCCTTCTTCTTCCAGTGCTCTGAGTTCAGCCTTTTCATCATCATCACTTTCAATAGCAGCTGACTTGTCCTTCAATTTGCGCCTGGTCTTCTTTTGCGTGCTGCGTGCTGCATCAGAGGCTTCATTGTCGAATATGTCATCATCATCGCTGACTGAGCTTTCAGATCTGCTTGCATTGGGCGCACTCTTCCATGTGCACATAGATGATGAGATGATAGTCTGCGAAGGTGTGTCAGACTAAACAAACAGAACTTAAGACTCTGCACGTACCTTGACGACTAAGTTAAGTATATGCGCAAAGCAGCGCACATGCATCTCTGGGCCGTTGATACCATTTAGCAATGTTTTGAGCTCTGACACCATGGTGGTGTTATTGGAGACATTGTCAGTGGTAATTGCAAGGATCTGATGGAAATTGAGATTGTGCGCGGTATGGAAATCATGCAACTGACCTTATCCTTGATACCATACTCTTTTAGACATGACGATATCATGCATCAAAATGGTTTGACACAGAATATGATACATACCAGATCAGTTTCTATGTGTCAGCTATTCTTATGCATGGCAACAGTGTCTTGGAACATATGACAGCAGGCTGATACATTTGGGGATCTCATGCATGGCAACAGTGTCTTGGAACATATGACAGCAGGCTGATACATCTGGGGACTACTAGAAACATGCAATAAACTTGTTACGTGTTTTATATATAGGCCAAACATGTGTCAGATTTGTTGGGGGAGCTGTTACAGGTAGCAGGGCAAATTATTGGGGCAACTGTGTATTTTTAGAAGGTTCCATGAAGCTGCAGGAATATGGAAGAATAGTGTAGAATAATATAGAATACTCTAGAATAGGCCAAAGTAGACCAAAGGATTGGGCTACCAAAAGCTATATAAGGACCCCTAATCCACCCCCAAAATACAAGCAACTTTGAGAGCAAGAGTCTCATCTGTGTGTGCCCAGGTAGAAAGTGCAATCAGGCGCTTTCTTCAGTATAAGGTAGTAAGGCTTGGCAAATAGGTGCCAGCTTATACCTTAGGTTTGTTTTCTGTTATTCAAGGTGTTGCAGGTAGACAATCAGGTCTATCTTTTGAAGTAACATCTTCTGTGTTAGTGCTTACTCTTGTACCACCCGTCTTTGTTTAGGTGTTAACAACTCAGTGCTGCCTTTTAGATATCTCTCCTGTGCTAGCAGTCTTATACAAGTGAGACGGCTACCCCTTACACGATTGCGTGTCTTCCCTTATTCCCTGTCTACACAATTTATTCTAGTGGTCTTCTCTTTCTCAACGAACACCCGAGGCAGAAGTCGAT